CAAAAACAAGCTAATGTATGTGCCTACAATCATCAAGTTGAAGGGCATGAAAAAGAAAGAAAAAGTTGCCATCTGTCTGTGTTAGTTGCCATCATGGTATGATGGTAGTTGCCATCTTGTTATGATGTTAGTTGCCACAATGTCACCATCATGGTTTCCATGCATAAATCAAGGTGTTAAGAGTGTTTGCAAAGGACTGGTAAAAAATACAATTAAATACAGTCGACAACCCTTCTGGTACATCTTGTTTGAGAATGCATCATGCAGGAAGTCCGCAATGAACTTACACCAATTCATGTTCTTCACATCTTTCAGTTTCGCCTGCGCGGCACAAATTTTAGGACAACAAGTTGTCGCATCAGAAATCAAATGAAAAAACATCAAAATAACTGACAGTGACTAGCTTACACATGACATCGGAGCCAAAAGATTGAAGAAAATAAAGGAGTAGAGATAGATCATTCACCAGGATGGGGAAGCATTTGTTGCTTGGGCGAAGAGAAGTGGTCAGCACGAAAACAGCTGAGATGAGATACATGAGTAGCTTCATCTTAAAAACCTCACCATGGATTGTCATGGCCTCCAGCGAATTTGCCAGGAAAGTCATGTTCGGCATGGTGCCATCCCAGGAAACAAACGGGGAAACAACGTTTCCTCAATCTTATTATTGACCTCATACGGGACTTCGATTTCTCCACGGGGCACACCCAAAGTGTAGAGCATGGATTCCTCGTCCAACGACAGTCTTCCACGCCCCGGAATCACAAATTCCCTGGAGGCGGGGTCGTAAATCTCACCAAGCCAGTCGCATATATGGTTCAATAGATTCTTGCACCGGACATCCATCAGAGCCTGCATACCCATCTCAGCAGTAGCTCTCTTCTGATCGTCGGTAAATCTCCCGGTCAATGAAGTCAGGCGTTCCTGTTAAGCCCTATTGCGATTACATTTCTTCTTCTGCAAAACAGACAAATGATCATTTGTTGCCATGTTTTCACTGTCATTAAAATTTAGTTCCTAACAGACGATTGCAAACTCAATGTGACATTCAAAAACATATGGAGGGGGAGGAGGGGGTGGACAGTTACCTCATCGCCGTCTTTTGTCCGTCCAGTTGCCCGATTCTGTTGCGTACATCCATGAAATCATCATCATCATCTTGATGATCGCCGCGAGCCATTCTGCTGAGGTAAGAATAAACCAAAATGTCAGGGTGGAAATGAAAAGTATGAAGTAAGCAGTTGCCACCTAACAGAATGTACTTGCCACATGGGCTCAATTGAAAGGGGCAAATAGTGAAGGCAATATCATATGAACACACACACACACACCCTATGATTGTCAAACCATAAATGTGGCAACTAAACACATTGGCTTCATTTGAAAAATGTACAGATTGTAATGCACTTAAAACAAAATGTTGAAGTTGTCATGTTAGCACAAGATATTACGAAAGAAAGGCACAAATCTTCCACTGCACAAACATATAATGTGGCAACTCACACCCTGTTTTCATACAAAAATGAGTTGCCATGTGTTCAAAGGCAAAATGTGTTAGGTTGAAATTGCCATGTTAAATGCAAAAGAATTCAAAAAAGAGTTGAAAACATCTACTGAACAACCTGTAATGGCAATGGCAATTCACACACTGACCTCATATTAAAAATGAGTTGCCATTTAATACGGCCAAATATGTTCAGATATCACAAGTCAGCGTGGCAAAACACAAAATTGGGTCTGTAGTACAATGAATTTGCCACATTATCCTGCCTACAACATGGCAACAGTCATAGTGTTTTCACAGAAATACTTGCCACATGGAAAGCATATTTTTGGCAACTACACAATTGATCAGGAAATTAGTTGCCATCCAGTGCACATAGTTGCTGAAACTGCCATGACTACCTATTTACTACACTTTAGCATGCCTACAGCATGGCAACAGCCATAACATGTGCACAAAATTAGTTGCCACATGGAAAACATATTTGTGGCAACTATCACAGTCGATCAGAAAATTAGTTGCCATATAGTGCAGATAATTACTAAAACTACCATGTCTGCCTTCATACTGCACTTTGAAAAACAACTACCTAGATCTAGGGTTCATTGGCAACTATCATAACCTGAAATTCATCAACAAAAATCTCCCTGCACTGATCACAAATAGCATTTCGAGGCAATACACAACTATCGGACAGAAAAACGATGGCCCAATCCCAAGGCACAACCAGGTTGTGGCTGCGAATAGGCCGAACCACACCGGCGTGACAGCCACCGCGGCGGCGACGAAACTGCTGAATGCCACCGAAAACGGCAAGCACAAGACTCCGCCGCCGGCGGGAATGCCGGCGCATCGCGAACCCGCCTGAATCTCGATGAATCTCGAGCAGAACATCGACCACGGAGGAGAGGGGAGAAATGCAGGCAAGGATTTTGAGCGTGGGAAGGAGCATTACCTTCAATCTGCAGGCGCTCCGGCGAAGACGCTCCGGTCCGGCGAGTCCCATCGACGGCCGCGAATGCCGTCGACTCTTCCGCCTCCGCCGTCGCCTTCTCCTCTCGCCTTCTCTTCCAATCGACTGAACTGCAGGCTGGGTTGTGCGAGTAATGAAGTGGGGAGTAAATGAAACCATGAGGGGAGGGGGGAGGGGGCGAAGTGTGCGACGTGGTTGACGGCAACCGCAGTCGGGCGTGGCGTGCGAGCGCAAAGCAGTTCCACCGCACGCCCCCGAGTGGCAACCATTGACCGCGTGGAGGCAACCGGCGTGTGGGCGAACTCTCTCACACACCACACACGCGCCTTGTCCTACGTGACACACAAAATCAGCCAAAACGTGTCAAGATTCGTGCAGAAACTGCTGAACGACGATGGAGGCGTGTGGTTGAGTTGGCTAACGCCCACACGTGTGGGCGTTAGTGTTTTTGTTCTTTTATGGTGACTTTCTTTTGAGCCATAACCTGACTGGGGAAAAAACGGTCCCTTGCGTTGCCCCGTGGACGACACAGGTGGGGGCGCCGCCGGGCCCCTCCCTCACCTCTGCCAGGGCAAAGCCCCTCACCGTGGTCAGCGACGGACGCTCCTCTCCTTCACTCGTGGGTGGACGGCGTGTGACAACCTGGACGTGCGACCGCGCTGAGCCGCTGACCTCGCGTAGGGCTTGGCGGCAGGCGTTTGTGGCAGGGTGTGGTCGACTGCTTGTGACGCGGTACTTGCGCAGGACCTGGGCATGGATCGGGCTCATCGAGACGCTCGATGGCATATGTTCCATGGCTTAGTTTTCTTCGTTCGTTCGATTGATGTTGGTTTTTCTTTTTTCCAGATACACAAATTTTTTTTAACATATGATGAATTTTTCTATATGGAGATTTTTTTTGCTAATACATGCTCTGTTTATTTGTATTTTGTAGAAATGATTTTTCTAGACTAGATTAAAAAGTACCCGGAGAGACAGAAGGGAAGGCAAACATGTGTAACTGAGCGTCGGAGTGGGCCGGGTCATTAGCGGCTCAGCTCAGGCGTCACCGCCCTTATTTTGCCGCCTGCCACTGATATGTATGGAATGGTGTGATCCGGTGCGACTATGTCTCGCTTAACGCAGGACAATAGTACCGTCGGAATGGGCCGGTCCAGCGCGGACCATAGGACTTCAACACTCCTTTTTTTATCCAGTTTTTCACATTTTTGCTTTATCTTTTACTTTTTCTTATATTTGAAATATTCTAACTATATATTATAAAAATATTTTATATATAAATTTGAAAAATGTTAATCATGCATTTAAAAAGTGTTAAACATGTATACAAAAATGTTTGTAATGTAGATAATTTTACAATGTGTACGAAAAAATAGACATACTATTTGTAAATGTTAATCCGTATTTGAAAAACACAAAGCATGTATATAAAAAAATGAACAAGTTCCCAAGGCTGTTGCCTTCGCGGGAGTGGGG